ATGGGGCCACGAAGAGCGCGAACGAGCTGGGGCCACGAATGGCAGATAATGCGGGGCCACAGAAGGCAACGATGGGGCCACTGAGGGTAGCAACTGGGCCACGTAGGACAGTGAGGGGGGCACAAACGGCGACAGCGCGGCCACGAAGGGCATGCACATGGGGCCACAACGGGCGCGACTCCTGGGTGCCTGGGTGTAGGGAGCGCGGCGGCGCTTGAGCAAATTCCAAGGAATTCCAACGCAAGGGCGCTATTCTTCAGTAAATTGCAAGCAAGTCTCCAGCGAGAGCGCGACTCCAGAGCGCCGGGAGAGCGATTCCTGAATCAATTGAGAGGAAGTTCCAAGCGAGAGCGTGATTCCTGAGTAAATTGCGAGGAGGTCTCGGGCGGGAGCGGGGTCCTGGCTAAATTGTGAGGAAGTCTCAGCCGGGAGCCGTTGTTGTTGTAACCCAGGGGCCAGGGGAACAGTTTGAGCATCAAAACTTTCCTTGTCAAAAAACAGGGTGCGAGAGAAAAAAACAGCATGCACCGGTGAGGAGGGATCAACCAAAATTATTGTTCAAAAATGAGAGTTCAACAACAACCACCACCACCACCACCACCACCACCACCACCACCACAACAACAACAACAACAACAACAACCATAACCACAACAACAACAACAATCAACAACACATAACACACAACAAACCACACACACAACAAACAACAAACAACAAACAACAAGCAGCAACAAACAAACAACAACAAAACACAAACAACAAACAACAAACAACAAACACAACAACAACAACAACAACAACAACAACAACAACAACAACGACAACAAACAACAAACAGCAAACAACAAACAACAAATAACAAACAAACAACAAACAACAAACAACAAACAACAGCAACAGCAGCAACAACAACAAACATCTAGAGACTGTTCGCTCTTACTGGCACGCGTGTCTTGCATTCCGTATACCCTAACCCTCGATACCCGCCCACTTCGTCTTCGATTGCACCCCCCTCGTTAGGGGGAATATTTTCCTTGTCGGTCACTGACTGACATGCAAGACGTCTCGAGCGAGAGCGCCGTTCCTGAGTTCAGGGGCCTCTCTGGCCAGGGGCTCCCGGAATACCTATGGAGAAATATCGATGTGAGCCCTTGTCGCTGTGTCCGGGTTCACCAACTTGCCTGAATTACGTGACAATCTCGAGCGAGAGCGCCGTTCCTGAGTTCGGGGGCCTTCTTGGCCAGGGGCTCTCGGAGTAAACCGTGAGGAGGTATCGAACAGGAGCCCTTGTCGTCGTGGCTGGGCCTCTGCCAACTTACAGAGAGGTTTTTATTACATGGGATTTCTATTACATGGGATTTTTATTATACATGGTCGTAGACTACGAGGAATTGCATCTCCCGCGCGCGCGCCAGAATACATACGATGAAAAAACAAGTCCAGAGACTCATCAAAACGCACCCGCGCGCGGACGATGAAGCGACATGGTCGCTCACTGCCTCCGATGAGCAATTGCGCGCGCGCGCACCAGAATACATAACATTATACATATATATATATATAGAACAAACAAAAAAAACGCACGCAACGGGCCAATGGGGAACGGCAGTGGGCGCCGCCCGACAACCGCCGAATAAGCAAAAACCTATGCGAAACGGCCAGGAGGGCGCCGCCCGACAACCGCCGAATAATCAAAAACCAATACGAAACGGCCATGGGCGCCGCCAGACAACCGCCGAATAATCAAAAAAACAATACCAAACGGCCATGGGCGCCGCCCCACAAACGCAGAATAATCAAAAAACAATACCAAACGGCCATGGGCGCTGCCCGACAACTGCCGAATAATCAAAAACCAATGCCAAACGGCCATGGGCGCCGCCCGACAACCGCCGAATAATCGAAAACCAATACCAAACGGCCATGGGCGCTGCCCTATAACCGCCGAATGATCCAACACCAATACAAAAACACATAGGGGCGCCGCCCGACAACCGCCGAATTATCAAAAAACAATACGAAACGGCCAATCACGAGGAAGTCTCGAGCAAAAGCGCCGTTCCTAAGTTCGGGGGCCTCTCTGGCCAGGGTGTCTCGGGGTAAATTGTGAGGAAGTATCGGGAGGGAGCCGTTGTTGTCGTAGCTGGGCCTTCAAGGGCCCACATTCGGGGTCAAGCCAACGCTCGAGCGGGAGCCTAGTTTTCAAAGAAATTTAGCCGGTGTCGAGGCGAGAGCGCGCGGAACCGTTTCTGGAGATCAACAATAATTATTTTCAAGTAGTGAGTAAACAACAACAATCACAACAACAACACAACGATCATTTTAAGACGGTTCGCTCTGATATGCTCGAGTGTCATTCAGAATGCATTTCCCCCATCCTCGATACCCGCCCTCTTCGTCTTCGATCATACCACTTTTGGTGGGTATAAATTTCTTTGTGACTTCTGTGTGATGCGCGAATCCTGAATGGCAAGAGCGCGGCGCCTGAGTAAATTGCGAGGAAGTCTCAGGCGGGATCGCGATTCCTGAGTCAATTGCGAGAAATTCTCAAGCGGGAGCGGGGGACCGGAGTAAATTTCGAGGAAGTATGAAGCGGGAGCCGTTGTTGCTGTTGTTGTAAACTGGGGGCCAGGGGCAATTTGAGGAGGAAGACTTTCCCTGATAAAAAACCAAGTGCGAGCGCCGGGAGGGGCACTTCAATTGAAAAAACACCATGTGCACCGAAGGAGGGGATCAACAATAATTATTCTTCAGTAATAAGAGTTCAACGACAACGATGACGACAACAACAACAAACATGATTGAGTAGAAACATCCTCCATCCCCGAGGGGTAGGGCAAGCATAGAGCATTTCCATTCTCGACTCGACTCCATCCACGTCGCGACAGCGAGATGCCGCAACGTGTTCGGCAGCAGCGTGCGCAAACATGTGGGGAAACGTCCCCGAAACGCACCACTCGCACGGGACGGCGCAGGCACTACCACTGCGCTTGCGTCCCCTGGATCTGTCCCTCTGTTGGGAGGCTCAAGACGGTGCGGTGACAGACCTTGCGGTGACCTCGGAAACCCCAACGACCTCACCGCACGGTGCGTCACCGCACGGTCCGTCACCCTGGAGGCTCCGGTCGCCCGAGACATCCTCGGAAAACGACCCAAGTCCCGAAACCGTGCCGTTATCCCGAATCGCACCTGAGAATCCCCATGGACTGACCGCACGGTGTGGTCACCGCACCATTGAGGGGCCCCCTGTCTAGAGGCATCCTGGGTCGGAGCAGATGGGGTCGGAGGATTTTGCCGCATCGCTGATGCATCGGCGATGCATCGGCGATGCATCGGTGATGCACCGGCGATGCATCGTCGATGTCGGCGATGCATCGGCGACGTCGACGTGAAGCAGATCGGGCTCCACATCGAGACGCATCGGCGATGCATCGCCGAGGCGATCCCCCGACCCCATCTGCTCCGACTTCATCTGGGAGGCCTGGACTGCCTCTCTCCCTTTCTTGGTACTTCCGAGCTTCCCGGGTCCTCAGCTGCACCTGCCCCGGCTCTGGCGGCCCGATCTTGCGCCGCACCAGGCGCAGCTCCCGGATGCCGGTCAGCACCGCGGCATCCACCTCCAGCTCTGGCGGGGGCGGCGCCGGGCGCTTGGTCATGGCCCGCCCCGCCGCCCCCCGGGGCCGGGAAGGCCCAGGGACACGAGGCGGGGATGGAGACGTCCCCCGCCTGGGGGAGCCGACGCCCTGGGCCACGAGGAGTGGCGGTGGATGTGGGCATGCTTTGGCCTGTCGGGTGTTGCTGGAAGTGCCCCTGGCCTTAGCGGGCCCTGGAAACGACAGGGCCGTTTTCGTTACCGGTTCCGTTTTGCCGTTTTTGTTGCCGGTTCCGACGCCGGCTTTTTGCCGGTTCCGTCGCCGTTTTTTGACCGGTTCTGGCTCTGGCTCCAATCCTCGAGCCCTTTTTGTTTGCCGTTTCCGGTCGCCGTTGTTTTGCCGTTTCCGTTTTCAAGGGACACTTGTTTGTAAGCGGTGAAAAAACGGCCCTGCCGTTTCCGGGGCTAAGCCCGCCGCCCCCCGGGGCCGGGAAGGCCCAGGGACACGAGGCTTATGTCGGGCGTGTCCCCCTACAGGGGGATTTTCGACGAAACAAAAAAAAATACCTCAAAAATGCACCCAAAAAAATATTTGAAAATAATCCCCAGGCTATTTTTTTTTGTTTTTGTTTTTTTTTTGCTATTTTGGGGTATTTTTCATTTTTCGTCGAAAATCCCCCTGTAGGGGGACAGGCCCGACTTAACACGTGGCGGGGATGGGTCCGCCCCCCGCCTGGGGGAGCCGACGTCCTGGGCGGTGGACGTGGGCATGCTTTGGCCAGTCGGGTGCTGCTTGAAGTGCCCCTGGCCCAGGGTGCCCCCAGGATTTCCAGGGAGGCCCCCGCGGCCGGAGGATCGAGATTATCGGGGCTCGCGCTGGCCCCTGACTGAAGGAAGAAGTGTTTGAGGACGAGGAGGAGGAGGAGGAGGAGGAGGAGGAGGAGGAGAGGAGGAGGATCGAGGGAGGAAAAACCACCCACACAAGGCCCAGAGGGCCCAGGGGGGCTCCACAGAGGTATACCAGCTCGCTCGGTCCCCGGAGGCGCCGGCCCCTCCTGGAACGCGCCCCGATGCAGTATAGGAGCTCGGCCACGGGAAACCTCCGAAAAGAAACCCAAGAAACCTTCCAAGAGAAACCCAACCCTGAGACCCTAGGGCGTCCATGGATCTTTGGGCTATGGGGGCTTCACGTCTTCCATCGCTCCAAGCCGTCGAGACCTCAGAGAAACCCAGGGCACCCCGGAGGCAGGCACGCTGTTCGCGGCATGGCTTTCCACGGCATCCCCCAGGCGGTGAACACGATTGCATCCCCTCCTCGGCAGGGCCGCGGAGGCGCGCCCGCCCCCCGGCCCGCAGCGGCTGCGGAAAGGAGGTGGAAGGAGGAGGAGGAGGAGGAGGAGGAGGAGGAGGAGGAGGAGGAGGAGGAAGAGGAGGAGGAGGAGGAGGAGGAGGAGGAGGAGGAGAGGAGGAGGAGGAGGAGGAGGGAGGAGGAGCGGTGCTGAGCACGGCGATGGCCACGGCGGCGGCGCTGGCGAGCGCGCTCTCGGCACCGCCACGGCCGGGGGCGGGATGGGTCGGCACCTCTGGTCGGCAGCTACGGGCCGAGGCGAAGAGTGTGCATCGGATCGGGCTGCGTCGGCACGGAGGCGAGGTCGAATCGCATCGGCGGCGCCAGGATGCACAACAGCGCCGTGCAAGCACCAGGAGGAGGAGGAGGAGGAGGAGGAGGAGGAGGAGGAGAAGGAAGCCGCCTCGGACCGCCTGAACATTGGCATCGCATCGGGTCGGGCCAGCTGACATCGATCCGCCACCGTGCCTTTCTGGCACGTCGAGGCGCGGACGAAGGCCAAGGTCTGCTCGGTAGAGCTTTTTGGGAGATCTGATGAAGGACTGCTGCCCTTCCCTCTGCCAGCAGGCTCTTGCGTGCCTCGCCCCGCCTTTCCGAGACCATGCCCCCCGCGCCCGCTCGAGCATGGTGCACTTCCCGCGTGGCAGCCAAGGCCTGAACCCCCCTTCCACGCGCGCCCGCTCGACGATGGTGCGCTTGCCGCAGGGCCGCACAGGCCTGAACCCCCCTTCCACGCGTGCCCGCTCGAGGATGGTGCGCTTCCCGCCGGGCAGCCACTGCCTGCACCCTCACTCCGTGCGCGCCCGCTCGAGGATCGAACACGTCCCGCATGGCTGCCAGCTCCTAGACAATCATGCCACGCGCACCCGCTCGAGGATCGCAGACTGCCTGCACTCCCAGGCGCTGCTCCCAAGCGCTCCAAGGCCTCCCGAACCACGATCCCTGGCTCAAAACAATGGATCTCCACCCCGAGCGTCCAAGCAGGCCCGTGCAGGCAACCAAGGACACCAAGATGGCCCAAGATGCCTCGAAGACCGCCCAAGATGGCCCCAAGGCGGCCGAGTATCCATTCAAGACAGCTCAAGGTGCCTCCAAGAGGACCCAAAGTGGCCACAAGAGGGCCCAAAATGGCCACAAGAGGGCTCATCTTCCCTCGGTGGAGGTGGCCGCCGCTGCCAGCGGTTGTGTCAACCTCTTAGGCCTCGAAGCACTGGCACCGCTGCACTGGATGTTGCTCCGCCCGGCCGAAGACTCCGCCCAGGTGGCCCGCTCGTGCTCGTAGCCCAGGCCGCGGGCCTGCCGCTCTCTGCGCCGAGGCCACGAGCGGCCTGAGCCCCAAAAAACGGCTGCGGAGGCGAGTGGCGTCCGCGAGACGGCGGATGACTGCGGCTATGACAGTGGCGGCCGCGAGGACGGCAGACGGCGACTGTGAGACTTGCAGATGGCAGGACACCCCGCCGCTTCGCTCCCAGCTCGATCCCTGGGGCCCGTCATCGGGTCCCAGAACTGTCAAAAACGGGTCCAGAGCCGAAAACTGGCCCCAGGCAAGGGGTCTGGACCCGTGGGGCCGCGCTGGTGGATGGCGGCGGCGGCGGCGGTGAGTGCTGGCGGCGGCGGTGGCGCTTGCGGCAGGAACAGCGGCGACGATGATGACCAGATGGGCGGTGTTGCCTCCGACTCGAGGTCGCAGGTGGAAGAGGAGAAAGGGGGATCCTGTCGCGGCCGCGTTCGAGCTGGCGAGCGCAGTTGGGCGGCGGCCTCACTGTCGGTTCAAGCCCGAGGAGAGCGAGGACAGGCCGAGGATGGGAGCACGGAGGACGGTGAGGGAGAAGAGGGGTAGGAGGATGAGAGCCAGAGTAAAAACCATATGCACCAACGATGCTGCAATACATCCTCGCGTCCCAAGACCCTTCTTCAAAAGGCCCCCCCACAAGTAGACCTTGGCACCAATGAAAAGCGCCCAATTGGAAGACTAACGTCCCGTGGGCATACCATCGAGGCGGCACCCCTAGTGATTCCAAACAGGAGCCACCATCCATCCTTGAAGATATGTGAAGTCCCCAGATGTAGGGTCGTAGAGCTTGCGTGCCTCACACGAGAGCACAATTTCAAACATGAGCCGCCCTTCACTCGCGAAACCATTGCAAAGATGTGAGTGTCACAGCAAACGCCCTGAGCAAGTCACCTGCGTAGCCCATTTTGAAAGGAGACGCCATCCATCAACGCAACTGGTGTGCAAGTTTACATGTCGTGTCGAACAGCATGAAAGCGCATGCAGCGAGAGCTCAATTCCAAGGAGCTGATAGCGCGTCACAAAAGTTGAAGACGATCGTATGCGGCGCTGCGACACGACCCACATGCTGAAAACAGTCCGCCCTGCAGCCGTGCCAATGTTGCAAGGGGGTGTGCGCGGCGCGAAGCGCTAAGGCGAGAGACGCAGTTTGAAAACTGGGCGCACTCCACTTGTTTGTACGGTCGGAACCGTGGCGGCTGCGGCCCCAGCGACACGCTATGCCCTGCGAGCGGATAGCGCGTCGCTGCGCTCCGCGGGGCGACAAGCTGGGAAGATCTCGGGACACTGATGCTTGAGGAGGAGGGAGAAGAGGAAGGAGGATGAGGAGGAGGAAGAGGAGGAAGAGGAGGAGGAGGAGGAGGAGGAGAAGGTGGAGGAGGAGGGAAGAGGAGGAGGGAGAAGGATGAGGATGAGGATGAAGATGAGGATGAGGAGGAGGAGGAGGAGGAGGAGGAGGAGGAAGAGTTGGGGACTGGACCCGGTTGGCGTGTCGCGCCTGAGCGTGGTGGGCAACCCAACGGTCCTGACCCTAAGTGCTTGGTGCCCTGGCCTCGGGGCCGCGAGCGCGGGGAAGTGCCAGGCGGAGCGCCCGGCCCGCCCTGCCAGCGCGCCGGCCAGTGCGACGACGACGGTCGGGCCACGGTGGGGAGGGGCGGGGGAGGACGAGCAGCAGCAGCCGCATGAGGAGCGGGGGGTGGAAGGAAGCCGCGGGTGCGAACGCCCAGTGGCCCCTGCGATCGCCGTCTCTCTGCGCCGCGGCGAGCTCGAGGGGTAACCCTACAGAGCGCAGGGTTTCCCAGCGGCAATTGTCTCGAGAGGTCATTATACAAATAAAATCCCGTGAGATTTCCGTTGGTGGAACGACTCTGTGATTGAGATACTGAAGAAATACAGCTTTGCTCGAGGACCAGAGACAGCAGTGAGTATATTATAATATAGTGGGCCACTGGCCTCCACGCCCAGGCCCCTGCGATCGCCGTCTCTGCGCCGCGGCGAGCTCGAGGGGCAAGCACGCAGAGCGCAGGGTTTCCCAGCGGCAGTTGCCTCGGGTCTGGCCACTGGCCTCCCCTCGCCTCGCTGCACCGAAGGCGTCGTCGAAGTGGCGAGGGGGAAGACCGTCGTCGAAGGAGGGCTCGGGCGAAGCCCGTGCTCCGCAACGGGGCGCGACGGGGCCAAACGCCCCCACTTCCACCAGACGAGGGGACGAGCAAAAGAAAGGCCGGCAGCACGGCAGCAGCGAGCGAGGCAAAGACCGCCAGGGTGGGGAGGAGCCGTCGCGATGCCGACCCGTGGTCTGAGCATGACGCTGCGCTCAAGCATCTCACAGGGAAGAGAGGAGGGAGAGGGGACGGCGGGGGACCGAGGGAAGACACTGGCGGAATGCACAGCCTCAAGGGCGGCCGGTCCCTCTGTGGGTTTGCTACCGCGCGGACGAGGGTCCTCGAACAGACGGTGCGCAAACATATACTGCCGGTCTTGTCGGCCACGCGGCCAAGGCAGAAGGAAAGGAGGTTGGTCTCCCCTCCCCCCCGGGGGGGGGCGGGCAACATCGTGGAAACCGAGGGAAAAGGAGGGAGAGGCGAGGAGGGGGAGGAGGGGGAGGGAGAGGCGAGGAGGGGGAGGAGGGAGGGGGGGAGGCGAGGAGGGGAGGGCGGGAGGGGGGGAGGACGAGGAGGGAGAGGAGGGGAGAGGCGAGGAGGGCGAGGGAGGGCGAGGGAGGGGGCGAGGAGGGGGGCGAGGAGCGAGGCGGGGGAGGAGGGCAGAGGCGGGGAGGGGAGAGACCCAGGGGGGAGGGCGAAGGGGAGGGGGGGAGGGGAGGGGGACGGGGGCGAGGCGGGGAGGAGGGCGAGGAGAGGAGGGGCGAGGAGGGGGGGGGGGAGGGGGGGAGGAGCGGCGAGGAGGGCGAGGAGGGGAGGGCGAGGAGGGGAGGCCCCCGCTCCCGAGAGAGAGGGGGGTGCCGGAAGCCCGCCCCGCGGCGGGAGGGCGGGGGGGGGCGCCAGCAGCCTCGCACTCCTCGATCAGGCCCGCGAGCTCGGCCATGAGGGCCTTGACGCCTGGCCCCCGCCGCGGCCCGGCCCTCCGCCTTTGTGGCCCGGTGCCTCCTCGTCCTCCTCCTCCTCCTCCTCCTCCTCTCTCCTCCTCCTCCTCCTCCTCCTCCTCCTCCTCTCCTCTCCTCCTCCGCCTCCTCCTTCCTCCTCCTCCTCCTCCTCCCTCCTCCTCCCTCCTCCTCCTCCTTCCTCCTCCCCTCCTCCTCCTCCTCCTCCTCCTCCTCCTCCTCCTCCTCATCCTCCTCCTCCTCCTCCTCCTCTCCTCCTCTCCCCCTGCTCCTCTTCCTCCTCCTCCTCCTCCTCATCCTCCTCCTCCTCTCCCTGCTCCTCCTCCTCCTCCTCCTCCTCCTCCTCCTCCGTCCCTCCTCCCCTCCCCCTCCTCCTCCTCCCCTCCTCCTCCTCCTCCTCCTCCTCCGCCTCCTCTCCTCTCCTCCTCCCTCCTCCTCCTCCTCCTCATCCTCCTCCTCCTCCTCCTCTCTCTCCTCCTCCTCCTCCTCCTCCCCCTCCTCCTCCTCCTCCCCCTCCCCCGGCCCTCCGCCGTTTGTGGCCCGGCCACCGCCAGCGTGGCAGCATCGTCCGCCTCGTCGGCGGCGGCAGCAGCAGCATCGGCGTCATCGTCAGCTCTGCCATCACCAGCCTTGGCACCATCTGCAGCAGCAGCAGCAGCAGGGAATTAATCGACACGACCACCACCACCACCCCACCACCACCACCACCACCACCACCACAGTAATAATAAAGCATAGTAATAGCGATACTAAAGATGATAATGAGCCGGATATTCATTAAACAAATATAACAATAATAAAAGTATGAGTTTGAAAAATTATCGGAATTCTCATCATCCTCACCTGCATCAGCATCATCAGCATCAGCATCATAATCATCACCATCACCATCACCAGCATCATCAGCATGACCAACATTATCATCATCAGCAGCACCATTATCATCATGAATGATTCGCCTCCTCGCCATCCTCGTCATCATCAGCATCAGCATGACAATCATCATGAACATACTAATCATCATCACCACCATCATCATCATCAGGATCAGCATGATCACCATCGTCATCATAAACATCATCATCACACTCAGCATCATCGTCATCATCACCAGCATCATCATCATGACCCTCCTCATCCTCATCATCATCAGCAGCAGCATCGTCAGCATCATCAGCATCAGAATTATTACCATCGTCAGTGACATCATCATCGCCACCATCACCATCATCAGCAGCAACAATATGAGCATCATCTGCATCATCCACAGTCGTGGCATGAGCATCATTATTATCATCATCATCATCATCATCAGCATCATCATCATCATCATCAGCACTATCAGCATCTATATCATCATCAGCATCAGCATCGTCATCATCAGCAGCATCACTATCATACCCTCATCGTCATCATCGTCATCCTCATCGTCGTCATCGTCATCAGCATCCGCATCGTCATCGTCATCATCATCATCAGCATCACCATCATACTCAGCATCAGCATAATCATCATCAGCAGCACCAGCATCAACACAGACAGCATCAGCCGCATCGGCATCATTACCAGCATCAACACCATCACCTTCCGCATGAGCGTCGTCGTTGTTATCAGCATCATCATCATCATCATCATCATCATCATCATCATCATCATCATCATCATCATCATCATCATCATCATCATCATCCACCTCATCCTAATCATCGTCGTCATCTGCATCATTATCAAGATCCGCATCATCGTGATCCCCTAAGCCACAAGAATTAACAACATAATGAGAATCAGCATCATCATCATCAGCAGCAGCAGCATCAGCATCATCAGCATCATCATCAGCAGCAGCATGATTATCATCATCGTCGTCGTCATCGGCGGCGTCGTCACCATCGCCATCGCCATCACAATCACCATCCGTCGCCATTGGCGGCGGCTTAATCATCTTCGTCGTCGTCATCGCCATCAACATCAGAATAATATTATCCCGCCCTCTAGATTGCAACGTGGGAGCCAGGCAGCAACCGCTTCCGGAGGTGCACCCCTGCAAAACAACGTTTGTCTATACACATACATACATACATACATACATACATACGTACGTACGTACGTACGTACGTACATACATACATACATACATACATACATACATACATGCATACATACATATAGACCTACCTACCTACCGACCTACCGACCTACCTACCCACCTACCTACCTACCTACCTACCTACCTACATACATACATACATACAGGTATGTATACATTCACGTACATGTATATTATATAAATGCATATATATATATATAGACACATAAGAACTCTGAGAACATGGGGTTTCGCTCCAAACGTGTTCTTAGACAGCAGTCCAGGTCCAAACATACGAATGTGTCTACGAGAAGGGGGAGCCCTGAGGAAACGCCCAGGGTCCAGTCCATATTCTTCCTTTCCTCAAAAGAAATCTGGAGTCCACGAAATGAAAACTCACGCCTTTTCAAGGAGGGGGGAGAGATGAGGACGAGGACAGGGGGAGCGGAAAGGAGAAGACGGGAGGGAGAGCAGACGGCACGGCGGAGCGAAGGGGGGAGGGGTCACTGGGAGAGGGTGAAATGGGGAGAAGGGGGACAGGGGAAGGGGGGAGGAATTGCAGGGATTAGCCATCGCGCAGCGACGAACGCACACTCCACCACCCGAGCAGAAGCTCGAGGCCCAGCGCTTGGGAAACTGATCGTGAGTAGCCCTATCGAGGTGCTCGCGACAGGCCTTGGACATGGGCAACTGGCGCGGGGCATCGGGGGGCGATGCTTGGAAAGGGGAAGCGGGGGGGGAGAGGAGAGGGGAAGGGGGAAGGGGGGCAAGCGCGGAGCGGGGAGCGGGGTGGAGGGAGCGGGGAGCGGGGAGCGGGACGGGGGGGCGGAGGAAGGGGAGGGTGGGGAAAAGGGGGGCGCCCGCACCCGCCATGCCCCGACCCTCCCCCTCCGTTGATCTTGTCGACGCGCTCTCGCACCTCCGGGGGGGGGCGGCGGCGGGGTCGGCGGGGCGGGGCGGGGCGACCCCGTCCTCGCGCGCCCCTGCCATCGCTCGCGCACCCCCCACCCCGGCTCGTCCCCCTCCTCCTCCTCCTCCTCCTCCTCTCCTCCTCCTCCTCCCCTCCTCCTCCTCCTCCCTCCTAACTCCTCTCCTCCTCCTCCTCCCTCCTCTCCTCCTCCTCTCCTCCCTCCTCCTCCTCCTCCTCCTCCTCCTCCTCCTCCTCCTCCTCCTCTTCCTCCTCCCGTCCCCCCCTTCCTCCTCCTCCTCCTCCCGCCCCGTCCTCCTCCTGGTCCACGTTGTTGTCCTGCTCCCGCTGTTGCTCCTGACCTTGCGCCTAAACCTGCGCCGACCTTTGCGTAGGATCGCTGCGTTTCTCAATGCGACAGCTCCTTCTGAGGAGGGGCGTTACAGGGGGAGCGGCTCAAGGGCACGATCGCGGCGCAGAGCTGCAGAGCAGCGATCGAAGCGGTGCAACCGGACGCGTCATGGCGCATCTTGGTCCACGCTCGCCACCCTCATCAAGCCGATCAACCACACTGCCCGCTGCCACTGCCACTCCCCGCCACTGCCAGGAGCCCGCATGGCTCTATGGGAGATCAACCAGGAAACAACCCATCCTCAGCAATGGTATTCTGAGTGTGCGCTGGCTTGCTCTGCTGGCTATGTGCGCAAGGTGGCGGCAGTAGTTATAGGAGTAGTAGCGTTAGAGGCACTAGTGTTTCTCGTATGAGACACAGGCGTCACAAATCTGCAGCACATGCATTGCACATATGAACTTCCCATGCGTCTCGTCTGAACACCTGGTGCGTCTCTTATATGAGAACCCAGCGTTTCGCGGAATGAAACGCTTCAGTGCTGCCGGCCATACTCTTGCCATGGGAAATTCAAACGCTTCTCACATGCAAGCCACGCGTTTCACATATGAATACCACGCGAGGAAGCCCACCATTACGACCACCAGCAAAACCATCACCGCGACCACAAACACGGCCAACGCCAGGACGCGCCAGGACGGCCAGTTGCACGATCAGCAGCACGAACCACCGACGCGAACGCCCGCACATGCACTCGCACGACCACCAACACAAGCCAGGTCGAGCGCAGTCGATCGTCCACAAAGGCAGCGGGGGGCTGCCAGGAGGAGTCGCGGTCGCCATCGCAAACCACCAGCATGACGACAACCAACGCGACCAGGAAAACGACCATCAGCACGACCACAAGCACGACAATTACCACGACCGCCACCAACGCGACCACCAACACGACCGCCATCGAAGACCCACCAGCCCGATCAAGACCACGACCCGCAGAAGGAGCAAGCCCAGCGGAGCCCATCGTCTAGAATCACGGGGGGGCACCAGCACGGCCGCCAGCAGTACGACCAACAGCACGACGACCGACCACTGGCACGAACCATCAGCAGGACCGCCACCACAGGCCGCGCACGATCACCAGCAGAACGAGAAAAGCAGGACACCTCCCGTCTACACTTGCTCGGGTGGCGCAGCCAGGACCGCCATGGCCAGCACAACCACCAGCGCGACCACTGGCACGAAAATCATCCCGACCGCTGGCACGAGCACCAGCGCGACCACCAGCAGCACGACCAACACCACGATCACCAACGCGACCAATCGCATGAACCACCAGCGCAACCACCAGCCCAACTACCAGCACGACCACCACCGCGATCACCAGCACGACCACCAGCAGGGACGCAGGCGGCGGAGGAGCCGGGCCGAACAGGAACAACTCGATCCTCGAAAAGCCCGAAAGCGCTTGAAAACGTCCGAAAGTGTTTAAAAAGTCAGGAGAACGTGTTCGGCATTGTGTGTGGCTGAGCTTGCAGACTCGCGTGCCGAGCGCGAGCGCCCGAAGCCGAGCGTGGCCGAGGACTCCTGGACTGGGCCTCGGGGAAGGGAACGACGAGGCAAAGCGGGAGGCAGACGACTCCCTGGCCCTCCCTCCTCGGCCCTTCCCCAGGCGGCGACGATGACGACGGCAGCGGCGTCGTCGCCGCCGCCGCCGCCGCCGTCCTCGCCGTCGTCCTCGCCGCCGCCCCCTCCCAGGCGCGCGCGGGGCGGGCGAGGGCCACGGGCGGAGCCCCCCAAGCACGCGGGGGTCCGAAATCCTAGGGCACACCCCGAGAGGAGGGAGGAGGAGGAGGGAGGAGGGAGGAGGGAGGAGGGAGGAGGAGGGAGGAGGGGGGAGGAGGAGGAGGCGGAGGAGGGGAGGAGGAGGAGGAGGAGGAGGAGGAGGAGTGAAGGAGGAGGAGAGGAGGAGGAGGAGGAGGAGGAAGAGGAGAAGGGAGGAGGAGGGAGGAAGAGGGGGGAGAAGGAGAAGGGAGGGGGGGGTATAGGAGGGGGGGACCTCGCCTGATGGCCTGGGGCAAACGGGGGTCCGTGGGGCTCTACTGGGAATTCAACGAAATCGAAGGGAAGAGAACGATGCGCATACACCGGATTCTGGCCAGGCCCATCCCGAGCCCAGGATCGGGGCATGCGCCATCCTGCCTCGACCCCGAGGGCAGATGCACGGATCCCTGGCCGAGGATGGGCCTGGCCAGTATCGGCGCCTGTGCATACAGTAGGGGCCCGACCACAAGAAGCCCTCCTCGAGAAGCCCAACCCTGAGACACCAGGACGTCCATGAAGGTTTGGTGTGGGAACGTCACGTTTCCCATGGCCAAACCATCGAAGCCCAAGAAACCCAGGGCACCCTGGAGGCAGGCAGGGTTTTTTGTTGGCACGGGCCCCCACTGTAGCAACGGGGATGCAGCAGGAAGCGGTCCTGGGGCTCTGGACAGAGGCCGCGGGGGGGGGGGGGCGCTCCGCCGCCCCGCCGCCCGACAGGGTGACCTTAGGATTTCGGATGCCCCAGATATCATGGAGTGACCGCGGGAGACATGTTCGTCGGAACGTGCCCCGAGGGGCCAGTTTGGGGGCCCCAGGGCGGCCTCAAACCAAGGCTGGGTTGCGATGCGCGCGGAACGACATGCGACAAAACATACTGCAAGGAAACAGCTGTTGCGCGCCGTGGGCCCTTGGAAACCCGTTTCGGGCCCCAGGGCGGCGCCGAACCAGAAAAAAACGACCAGCGCGGGAGGGAGGGAAGAGAAGAGGGAGGGAGGGGGAGGGGAGAGCGGTGGGGGAAAGAGGGGGGAGGGGGGAGGCAAAGAGGACTCGAGCGGGGACGGGGGGGGAAGGAGCGGGGAGGGGAGGTGGGGGGGGGAAGAGGGGGGGGGAGCAGGGGGGGGAGGGGGGGAGGCGAGGAGGGGACAGCCTCCTGGCTCGAGCGGGGAGGGAGGAGCGAGCGGGGAGAGGCCCCCGAACAGCCTGACGAGCGAGCTCTGGGTCTGGCGTTGCCGGGTGGCTCTCGGTGTTCGGCGCCCGGGGCTCGGGTTTTTTCGGGGATGGACAGACCTCCCTTTAGTAAAACGTGGTTTAGTGAAAACGACTTCGGGCCCAAATCTGGCGGGCGCAAGCCTGGAAAATAACGGCCGCGGTGCCCTCTCGAGAACCGAAAACGGACAATTCACTAATCGACGTGTCAGGGTAGGAGGTCTATCCACCTCCGAGTTTTGGTGTTGGGTGTTTGGGGACTTGGGGGCTCGGGTCATGTCGGGCGTGTCCCCCTACAGGGGGATGTTCGACGAAAAATACAAAATACCCCAAGCATACCCCCAAAAGCTTCAAAAAGTAGTCAAAACTTAGTCCCCAGACTATGTTTGGACTGTTGTTTTGACTATTTTGGTGATATTTTTAAGGTGTCAGCGAAAATCCCCCTGTAGGGGGACAGGCCCGACTTAAGGTTCGGGGTTTGGTGTTTGAGGGTTGGTGGTTGGTGTCTGGGGCTTGGAGCTTGTTGCTTGGCGCCTGGTGCTCGGTGTTCGGTGTGTGGAGTTCGGTGTTTGGGGGTCTGGTAGTTGGTGTCTGGGGTTGGGTGTTTGGGGTCTACTACTTTGGGGGGCCCTGAGGCTCAAACCGAGGAGTACTCCAACTCTGCCGGGGTATAGGTTGTCCAACCGGGGTACAGCCCGTCCAACAGGGGTATAGAATTCGGCCCCCCTTCCCCCACCCCTAATTACTGTTACTCCCCCCCCCCTTCCCTGGTCCCCCTCCCCCTACCCCCAACCCCCTCCCCTGCCCCTCCTCCCCCACCCCCCCCCTCCCCCCTCCCCCCTCCCCCCGTGACCCCTCCGCGCGCGGCCGACAAACGCCGAAAGCCCGAAGCCTCGAACCCCCATCCCCCTTTTCCCCCTCTCCCTGCTGCCGCCTCCCTTCCCCCCCCCCCGCGCCTCCTCGTCGCCCGACCCGGACCCCCCCGTGCTTCAGTGACCGCGCCGCCCCGCGAGGTGGCCCCCCCCCCCGGCCGCCCCCCCCAGGGGGGCCGCCGCCTCGCGGGGTTGCCCGGGAGGGACCTCCAGGCCACGCCAAGGGGGGGGGGGGCCCTGGGACGAAGCCGGGGCGGGGATCAGGTCGGGCATGCCCCACAGGCGGATTTTGGACGAGAAATCAAAGACAAAAAAAACACTCCAATAAGGATCAAAAATAGTCAAAGGGTAGTCGGAAAATCGTCCCCCTACTATATTTGTTGTACTCTTTTGGGATACTCCTCCTGTGGAGGGACATGCCCGATTTTCGGCGAGGACAAAGAAGACGGTCCCCCTGAGACGAGGCCAGTGCAAGGCTGAAATCGGGCGGGGACGGAGCGAGCAGCTCTGAGATCTGGCGGCTCTGGCGAGGACGTCTCGGGCGCCACGGCGTCCTCGGCCCTTGCCTCCTCCGAGCGTGTCCTGGGGAAGGGGGCCGGTCAGACGGGCCCTGGCCCGGGAAGCGAGACGCCCTGGACTCGAGAGGCCCGCCAGCCCCTGCCAGCGGCGGAGGAGAGGGGGGGGGCGGAGGAGGAGGGGCGGGAGGGCGGCCAGCCAAGCAGGCAAGCGGGCAAGCAAGCCAGCGAGCCTCTCTCCGCCGGGCACGCGCAGGAAGGGCTCGGGGGGACCAGAGATCCGCGGCATATACCCGCCGTCCTCCGCGCGGCGTCGCACTTCCGGGCGCCTGAGGAAGCCCGGGCCGCGGAGCTGGCGTCGCTGGGGCCCAACATTTCCGGTCGCGTCCCAAAACGGTTCCCTGGCCAGTGGCAGCGCTTCTTCAGGCCGCTCCTGGCCCTTCTCGCGCGCTCTGATGCCGCCATTGTGTCTGCTGTTGTCCGCATCGACCTCCACTTCACCAAACGCTTCCGACCCATGGCGCAGGGCTCCACGTTCGCATCCAACGTCTCGCTGAGCAGCGCTCAAGTCCGGTGCCACTGCTCGTCCTTCTCGCACACGCTGATCCCAACGCTGACTCTGCCTGGCCTTTCGTACCGTCTCTACGCGGCAGAGTGACGATCGCGATCGTTTCTACGCAGAAGAGTGCCAATGGCGCGGCTGCAGCTGGCTGCGAGCGGATCCACCTTTGCCTCCCACATTTCGCCCAGCAGCCAAATGCCCGCTGCCACTGGCCCCCCCCCCTATCGCACGCGCTCATCCACGAGCTGCATGTGACAGCGTTGGGCATCGCCTTCGTCTCCCATATCTCGCTGATCAGCGCCAGAGCCCGCTTCCACTGCTCACCCATCTCGCACGAGCGTCCTAGCCTGCTGCCACTGCTCGTCCTTCCCGCATGTGCTAAGCTAAGCCCTGCGTTGTAGCCGACTGCATAGGGCTGGCATTTGTTGGCGTAGATGCTGCCGAAAGGCCGAAATTATGACGCCGAGATTCAACTTCTCATTTGGTGGTCGCCGCATCTGCAACCGCCCGTAATTCACGCACGTGCTGAGCGCTGCCGCTGCTCGAATTCCTTGCACCTCGTGGTCCTGGCGTTTCAGATGAACGTCGGGGAACTCCGAAGAGCTCGTAAAAAGCATTCATGCAGCGACCGACGAAGTCAGATTAGATACCCCGCTCATTCCACGGAGGAGCCACCCCACAGTGTCAATACAACTGGCTTTCTCGCACGCGCTGACCCCAGCGTTGTAGCCGATGACGTCGGACTCAAGCTTCATCTCTCACATCTCGCTCAGCAGCGCCAGAGCCCGCTGCCACTGCTCGCCCTTCTGGCACGCGCTGAACCCAGCGCTGTAGCTGGTGACGTCGGGCTCCAGCGTCGACTCCCGCATCTGGCTGAGCAACGCCAGAGCCCGCTGCCACTGCTCGCCCTTCTCGCACGCACTGATCCCAGCGTTGTAAGAGAGACTAGGTCTGACCCGTGGACTGCGTCCACGAAATCTCCACGAAAAGTCATGTGATTGTGGACTTGCCGCCGAAAGGCTGAACTGATTACGCTGGGCTCGACCCTCATATTCCGCGCATGCTACTGCGTGCTGCTGCTTGCTGCCGCTGTTGCCCCGCTGCTGCGTGCTGTTGCTGCTAGAGCCTGCAGGGTGCTGCTGATGGCCAGTTCTGCGTGGTGCATGCTGCTTCCTGCTGCTCCATGCTGTTGCTTGCCGCTGCTGTGCTGCCGCTGCTGCATGCTTCATGCTGCGTACTGCTGCCGTTCGCTGTTGCTGCTTGATGCTGCAGGGTTCTATCTATCGCTACGTCAGCTTGCTGGCGAAAGCTGCTGCCAGGAGAGGATCGAGGAACCAGGACCGAGGAAATCGAGGAACGAGGGGGGGGAGAAGCGAGGGGTGATCAGCGAAGAGCGAGGAGCGAGAAGGGAGGAGGGACGGCCGAGGAGAGATGGGCGAGGAGGAAGGAGGGAGAGCCAAGGAGGCAGGAGGCGGGAAGGGGGAGGGACCTCTTGGGGGTCTTTGGGGGCCTCGTAAGGGGAGGCATCTCGGAATGTCTCTCGGGGGCCTCTTGGGGTCTCTTGTGTCCGTCTTGGGGCCTTGTGTGGGGCTTCTTTGGCACGGAGCCGTCCCAAGTCTCCTGGAGCCATCTGGGCGGCTCTTGGGGCCACCAGCAGCTGTTTGGAGGGGGTCCAGGAAGGTTCGGATGGAGGGCATCTTGGCCGTCATTGTACGTTCCCGGGCCGCCTTGGACCTGATTTGAGGCCATCTTGGCGGCCTGTTGGCCCTTCTGGGAGCTCTGTCAGGCCGTCTTGAAGCTTTGCTGGGCCGTCTTGGAGCCCCTGGGGGGTCAACCGTCTCGGGTCGACCTCGGGGGCTTCTTGGGGCGCCCTGAGCGCACCGAGGCAGAGCGTTTTCACATTAGAAATTCAAAAATTGTTGCTCCTGGAGGCCCTGTCAGCGGTCCCCTTTGAGCCGTCTTGGGGAGCGCTTGGGGGGCCGTCGGACCATCGGGAGGCCCTCTTGGGCCGCCCTGTGGCTTTCTTGCGCTCTCCTGGAGCTCCCCGGGGCCGTCTTGGAGCCCTCTTGGGCGGTCTGGCGCTCCTCCTGGAACGTCTTAGAGCTCTCTTGGGGCCCTGTTGGGCCGTCCTGGAGCGCCCCTGGGCGCCCCGGAGCACGCCGGGGCCTGCCGGCCCGATCTGTAGTCACCTGATGCTGAAACCCTTCTGGCGCGCGGCGCTCCTGGCATTGTAGAGATGATGATGCTGATCCGCTGATCACACGGACCAGGCGGATCAGCGCCCACGTCTCGCCGATCAGCGCCGAGCGGGGCTCGCTGATCAGCGCCAGAGCTCGCTGCCAGTGCTCGCCCGTCTTGCACGCGCTGATTCCAGCGATGTAATTGACCCGCGGCCTTCCAGGCGCGGAATCTGCCTGCCATAGTGTGGACGTGGAAGAGGAGCGTCTCTGGGGCCTTGCGGTGGGGGGAGGTTGGAGGGGACGGTGTGGATGGAGGAGGTGGCCGCTGGAGGGGGAGGTGGGCGAGGGATGCAGGCAAGCAGGTCTGAAGGCAGGATCGCGGTGGTGGAGGCGGTATCAGTGGAAGCACACCCACGTAATTAGGCACGACATGGTGTGGACAGAAGATGTTTCTAGCGCCGCGCTCTGTGTCCATCATAGCTTCTGCGGGGCGGGTCGCCATGATAAGGTATCTGCTCTTCGCATGGGCCGAATGACAATCTTGTCTGGTAGTGTAGTGAGAATGGGACCGGTGGGCGCGGGCATGTTCCGGTTCGTTCGACTGGAACTTAGAGGGCCTAGAAGGCCTGCAAGAGGGCGCCGAGATGGCCCAAGAGGTCTCCAGGACGGGCCAACAGGCCTCCAAGACGGCCCAAGAGGGCCCCACGAACTTCCTAAGACGGGCACCAGTGCGAGAACACGAATCGACCTTTCGAGCTCACCGCCACGAGACGGCCCCAGAAGGCCCTGAGATGGCCCCCAGAGGGTCCAAAAGGCCCCCAAGACGACGATGGAAGCTCGATGCTCCCCGAGAGAGAAGCATCGAAGGCCTCTTGGGGGCCGTTTGGTAGCCTCTTTGCGTCCTCCTGGGTGTCTCTCAGGGACCTCTTGGGCCGTCTGGCGTGCTTCTGGGGCCGTCTTGGGGCGATGTGGGGCCGGCTGGGGCGCCTCTCGGGCCATCTTCGGGCCGTCTTCGGGCCATCTTCGGCCGTTATTGGGCGCTCTTGCGACTGTCGTGGGTGCCTCTTGGGCCGTCTCGGGCGCCTCTGGAGCCGTCCCAAGGCCGTCTCGGGCCGTTTTGGGGCCTTCCTGGGGGTCGTCTCCGTCTTGGAGACTGCGCAGACGAAAAGTACGGACATAAGAAAACAGATGCATTCCCGAGAATAGAACGATTTTTGCCTCTTGGGGCTCTCCTGGGGGTCCTCCTGGGCCGTCTCGGGAGCATCCTGGCCTGCCTTGGAGACCTCTGGGGCCATCCTGGGGCTCGCTTGGGGCCCTTGGGGCGTCCGGGCGCCCTCTTGAGCGTCTCTGAGCCGTCTTGAGGCCGTCTTGGGGCATCTTGGGACCCCCCCGAGCCGTCTCGGAGCGCCCGGGGGGGACTCGCAGGGCGCCCCAGAGGGTTCGGGCGGCCTCTCGGGGCAGAGGACCTTCTCGCACGCAAAGGTCGCTGCATTGGAGAAGGGACTGGGGCTGACCAGCGGCCTTGCGGTCGCGGAATCTGTCCGCCATAGTGTGGACGCCGCACCGGGGCCGCTCGGGCGCCCGGTGCACGGGAGGATCATCGATAGGGCGCTGGAGTAATTGTCCATCTGGCTTGCTTGGGCTGCCCGTCAGGAGCCTCCTCGGGGGGCCTCGACACTCTTGGAGCCGTCTTCGGGGCATACTCGGGACATCTATGTGGCTCCTGTCGGCTTTTGGGCCATTTGGGGCGCCATCCTCGCCTCCCCTGGATCCTTCAGCAAGTCGATCTTCGTTGGGAGCCGTCTCGGTGTGTCTGGACCCTCTTGGGGCCTCCTCCAGGTCATGCTCGGGACATCTCGGTGGCTTTTATCGGCTTTTGGGACCATTTTGGGTGTCCTCCTCCTCCTCCTCCTCCTCCTCCTCCTCCTCCTCCTCCTCCTCCTCCTCCTCCTCCTCCTCCTCCACCTTCTCCACCTCCTCATCCTCCTCCCCTGGATCCTTCATCCCGTCGATCTTCGATCGTCAGTCGTCGACGCCCCCCGAGAGACAAGCATCCTGGGGGTCTCTCAGGGACCTCTTGGGCCGTCTGGAATGCCTCTGAGGCCATCTTGGGGCGATGAGGGGCCATCTGGGGCGCCTCTCCGGCTATCTTCGGGCTGTCTTGGCGCCAACTTGGGCCGTTATTGGGCACTCTTGCGGCTGTCTTGGGTGCCTGTTGGGCCGCCTCGGGCGACTCTGGAGTCATCCTGGGGCCGTCTCGGGCCGTTTAGGCCTTCCTGGGGGCGTCTGGGGGAGTCTTTGGGCGATCTTGGGGTCTGTACAACCGTCTTTGAGAGTGTGCAAACGGCAAGAACGAACAAATCCAAAATATACGTTTTCCGAAGGGCATCGGACGATTTTTGCCTCTTGGGGCTCTACTGGGGTCCTCCTGGGCCGTCTCGGGAGCATCCTGGCCTGCCTTGGAGACCTCTGGGGCCATCCTGGGGCTCGCTTGGGGTCCGCTTGGGGCGTCAGGGCGCCCTCTTGAGCGTCTCTGAGCCGTCGTCAGGCCGTCTTGGGGCATCTTGGGACCCCCGGGGCCGTCTCGGAGCGCCCGGGGGGGGACTCGCAGGGCGCCCCAGAGGGCCCAAGCGGCCTTTCGGACCAGAGGTCCTTCTCGCACGCAAAGATCGCTGCATTGTAGAAGAGACTAGCGTGAACCCCTTGAACTGAATCCACGGTGTGCTGAACATGGGACTCGCACACCGTGGGTGAACAGCTCGTCGAACTCGAACAGCTTCGGTGCCTCTGGGGCCGTGTCAGGGGCGTGTTGGGTCCTGCTCCGAACCTGTCTGGGGGGCGTCTTGGAAGCCTCTTGCGGTATTTTGGGCGCCTCTGGGGCCGTTCCCAGGGCTGGTCCCGAGCATCTTCTGGGAGACAGCCTGGGGAGCTTGTTGTAGAATCGCCTCAGGGCCGTCCATGGGCGTCTTTGGGGCTCTGAAGGACCGCGTGGGGAATCCGGCTTTCGTGAAGGGAAGTTGGAGCTCTTTGGCACCGTCTTCGGGCGCTCTGAGGTAATTCATCTGGGGAGCCTTCTGGGAGGTCGAAGGCCTCTCATGGAGGTCTCCTGGGCAGGGCTGGCGCGATGGAGGCGGCGCTTGGGGCCGTCTGGGGCCGTCCTTGAAGCGAAATGGGGAGACCCTGAAAACTTTCTCAAAACATGTACAGATTTGTTTTGTTTAGTTTGAAAAATATATGTTTACTTTGTTCTTAAAACCTTGACAGAAATCTGCGACTTGGGCCTCCCGGGGCCAGCATCATCAGGTCCTCACTGTGCTGGCGTGGGGGGCCTCCTGGCGTGTCTTGTGGCCGTCTTGCTTGGAGCAGCCGGAGGCTCGCCTCGGGCTCTCTCTCTCTGGTGCCTGCCGGGCGCTCTCGGGAGCCTCTCGGCGCCGCCGCTGGACGTCATTGGAGCCTGCTGGCGGCCGCCCGGGGCGGTCCAGGACCGCCCCAGGAGCGCCAGGAGTGGCCATCGCTCGGACGTCCATTCCCTGTTCTTTTTTTCGGTTTCGTGCGTGGTTTTTTCGCCACATGATCAAGGATGCTCCTCGACGGTCCTCGCCGAAGAAAACATGCACACGTCCGAGCGATGCCAAGAGGAGCGCCCAGAGCCGCCCCAGGCCGAGCTGCGGCAGCGCAATCTCGCACGCGCTGACTCGACCATTGCACCATCGGCGAGCGAGGGCATGGCCCATGGACTCCGTCCACGAAGTCTCCACGAACTGTCACGTGACTGTGGACTGGCAGCTCAAAGGCTGAAGTCACAGCGCGGGGCTCGGCCCTCGCGCTTCGCGCATGCGACTGCCTACTGCAAGTTGCTGCCGCTGCTGTGTTGTGGGTCATGCTTGCCGCTGCTGAGCGTCGCTGCTGCTTGTGGCTGCGAGGCGCTGCTCATAGCCGCGTCTGCTTGGTGCGTGCTGCTGACCGCTGCCTGCTGCTCCCGCTTGCTGCTGCTGCGTGCTGCCGCTGCTGCTGCCTGCCTCGCGTCCTGCGCTGCTGCCGCTCGGGCAACAGGGGGCGCTCCGGGCCGTGCCCCCAGGGATTATCTCGAGCCGCCTTGAGGCCGCATGTACAGCCGGAGCTGGACACTGAGAAGCGTCCGCATGCGAGCCGCATTCTCCGACGAGGTTCCCTGGTGGCTATGGCCGCCCGCGGAGGAAGGTTCGAAGGCACTGCGGAGCATGCCCCCAGTGGCCAGCCTGTCCAGAAGCACTCTCAGGGCGAGCTCCCCGACGAGTCGCCCAGGCAGACCAGAGGCTGTCCAAAGGAGAGGAAAACATAGAGTGCGCATGGGCGCCTTATTTCCTGGGTGGCCAGCGAGGTCACGGATTTCTCTGAGGGATCTGTCCTCAAAGCCTCTTGGAGGCAGTTTTGAGGGTTGTCTTTTGGGCCTCTCGGGGCCTCTTGGGACTTGATTTGGGTCTCTTGGGGGCCTCTTCAAGGCCTCCTGGGGCTTCTGGGAAGCCTCTTGGGGGCCTGCTGGCGGTTTCTGTAATCATCCTGGTGCGGAGGGCGCGAAATGCCACTTCGAGCTCCCCCTCTTCAAGGCCCTCTTGTGGCCGTCTTGGGCCGGGGCCTCTTGAGCCGTCTTGGGGCCCTCTTGGGCCGTCTGGGGGCCCTCTCGGGGACCTCTTGGGACGTTTGGGGGCCATCTTAGGCCTCCGACGCCGTCTTGCAGCATTGAGAATCCGAAAAAGCGAGAACGATGAAACCCTTGAAAAACCAACAACCGATGGGAAATATATGAGTTGGCCTCTCGCGGCCCTTCTCGGGGGACTCTTAAAGCCCTCTTGACCCGTCTTGCGGCCCTGCAGGGCCGACTGAAAGCCGTTACCTCTCGGACCGTCTAGAGACGTCTCGGGCCATTGTGGACCATATTGGATCTTGGAGCCCTCTGCGGCCGTCTTGGATCTTGGAGCCCTCTAAGAGCCCCTGGAGCGCGCCGGGACCAGCCGGAGTCAATTTGAAGCCTTTTAAGACATGTTCCTTCTGACACGCTGTTCCCCATGCATTGTAGGGTAGATGACGTCGGGCTCCAGCTTCGCCTGCCACATCTCACTCAGCAGCACCAGAGCCCACTGCCACTGCTCGCCCTTCACGCACGCGCTGATCCCAGCGCTGTAGCTGACTGGTATGGGCCCGTGGATTAATTGCACGGCTTGCTGAACCTGGGGCTCGCAAGCGCGTCGAAGCCGAACAGCTCGTGGAGCTCGTGGAGAGCGTGGTGCTCGTGGAGCTCATAGAGCTCGTGGAGAGGACGGGGGGGAGGGCAAAAATGCAGGTGGAGGACCTCGGAACGTCCGAGCGTGCCGCGGTAGCTGCTCCGCGGAGGAGGCAACACGGTGGATTCCTGCTGTGAGGAGCTGCGCTGCTGCTCTTGACACCGCGTGGGACGCTCTCAACCCCTGCGCGATCGGCAGCTTTGAGATCGAGATCGCTCAACGCCGGCCGATGACGGACCCCTGTCGGCGCTGAGCCCTCGGTGCGGGCGCCGGCGCCGCCGCCGCGCCGACGCGACGCGAACCTCTGCGCACCTCCCCCCGCTGCTCGGCGAATGGGGCCGGGAGCCTCCGCTCTCGGGTGGCGCGAGACGGAAGGCAACGGAGAGGAGGAACGGCACGAGGAGGGGGGAGTCTGTGGGAAAAACACACACTGTGGGGAAAAAACACACACTGTGGGGGGGGGGAACTGTGTGTGTGTTTTTGTTGTTTGTTTTGTTTGTGTCTTTTCTGTTTTTTTACACACTGTGTGTGTTTTTTTCCCCACAGACTGTGTGTGTTGTTCTGTTTTTGTTTCGAGCGAGCGCTTCGGGGGGCGCGGGGATGCGCTCCCTCTGCCTCGAGCGCGGCCCGAGCGACCCCCCTGCGGGACGGGAGCTCCCGCGGCGCGCCCCCGCTCCGGAGGCCGGCCGCGAGCGGCGCGCGCGTGGCGCCCTGAAGCGAAGCGAGGAGGCCGCCGCGGGAGAGCGCCTGTCCGCTGCGGGTGGGCGTGACAGGCTTAGAGTGAAGGGGCCCCAGGACACACAAATCAATACACATGACAAATAAGAATATTCCCCATATTTTCCCATATTTTCTGGGTTTTTGTCTTCCCCCCCACTTCCCATATTTTCCCATACGTCCTGGGAACCGACGATGAATTGTGTCTGTGTGTTGTTCCCCCTCCTGATAGAGGCTGACACCAACACCGATATCGGCGGCGTGCCTCCACCGAGGGAGGAGGATCCCGACCTCGGTGACGGTGGTGATATCCTGGCTGCCAGGGCGACCGAGATCTCTCACCACCGACACAGAGATCCAGGAGCGCCTTCCCCCTTCGGAGACAACCCCCTCGTGTTGGTGTCGGTGCCCATCTCCAGGCCTCCGAGGCCGCTCCGGAAGCTCGTCGGCGACACGCAAGAGTGACCAATGGGTATGAGAGAGTGCCCTCTGCGGTGCGCGGCCCCTTGGGAGCCGGGGAGGACAAGCCCGAGCTCGCAAGACGCGGCCCCCGCCTCGCGTGGAGTCACCCGGGGGGCCCCAAAAGTGCCCGCGCCAGAGGTCGCTCCGGCGAAAGGTCACTCTTTGCGTGTAGTCGACATGAAGCACGTCTTTGGACGCCCGAAATGGGTACGGAAAGAATGGGTACAATGCCCAACAGCAAATGTTGTCCCGAACCAACAGCGGCCGCTGTTGGGCAAGCGGCCCTCTGTCTCGAGTGGACACACAGGCCGCGGCGGCGCGGACAGCGAATCCTCTTCAGAGTGGACAGGAACTGCTGCTGGGCATTATACCCACTCTTTCCGTGCCCATCCCGGGCGTCCAGAGCGTCCCGTCGGCTGCGAGCGGGGCACCCGGCCCTCCACCGCGACCGGCATTTTTGGGGACACGCCCGACGTAACCCCAGCGTGCCCGCGCCAGAGGTCGCTCCGGCGCGAAAGGTCCCTCCTGCGCGCAGCCGACATGGAGCGGCGTCCCGTCGGCGGCGCGCGCGGGGCGCCCGGCCCTCCACCGCCGACCGGGCAGTGGCAGCGCGCGCCGCCATGGCGTGCCGCCTGCGGGGGGCGCGGGCCCTCCACGCGTGGCCGCCCTGTCTGCCCCGCCCTCGCGGCGCCTCCTCCCCCGGGGGGGGGAGGGGGGGCCTGCCCGGGGCCGCGCGCGCGGGCCGCGCGCTCGCTCGGCGCCGCTGCTCGGGCGCCGTCGGGGGCCGTGGGGGGCACCGTGGGTCCTCGGCGCGGGCCCGTCGGGAGCGCCTCTGGGAGGAGCCTCCTGCGGCCCCTGGGGGCGCCTCGGGGGCCGTCCCCCAGAGGCTGTCTCCCCCGGCGCTCCTCCTGGACCCAGCGCTCCTCTCCTGGAGGTCAGCCCAGGAAGCCTGTTTTGGGATCGCCTTGGAGCCTTCCTGCAGGGCGCCCCTGGGGCTCTCGCAGGGGCTCCGTGGGGACTCTCCTGGGGCCGTCTTGGAGGGTACATGGGGCTCTTTGGGGCCGCCTTCGGGCGCTCTTGGGCCACCTTGGGGCCCTTGCGGGCCGTCTGGGGCCTCTTGGAGCCTAATGGGCAGTGATAGGGGCGATCTGGGACGCCTTGGAAGGCCGCCTTGGAAGGCCTCTTGGGCCGCCTTGGAAGGCCTCCTGGCTTGTGGCCGTCGGGGACCCTCGTGAGGCTCGCTTCGGGTTCGCTGAACCGTCTCTGAGCCGTCGTTGGACGCCTCGGAGCCTTCGAGCGACCGTCCGAGGCTGTCCAGAACAGAGCCAGGAGTGCCGGGAATGTGTATGGGCGCCCGTGAGCGCTGGGAGCAGCCCTGGGCCGAGCTACGGCAGCGCAGTCTCGCGCGCACTGGCTCGAGCATTGTAGTAGAGACTGGCGCGAACCCGTGGATTACATTCCTTTCCCGCACGCGCTTCTGCTGGCCTTGTAGGAAAGACTAGGCTGACCCGTGGACCACGTCTACGAAGTCTGCCGAGCTGGCATGTGCTGGTAGACGTGCTACCAATAACACTGACATGATGACGTGGGGCTCGAACTTCGCATTCCGCGCAAGACTACTGCGTGCTGCTGCCTGCTGCCGCTGCTGCGTGCTGTTCGTAATGTTCACTTACCGCTGCTGCGTGCTGTCGCTGCTTGTAGCTGCAGGGTGCTGATGATGGTGGGTCGCACGTGCCGTCTTGTCAGCTTTGTGTCAAAGCTCTCCGAGCAACGCCAACGCTGGCTGCCACTGCTCACCGTTCCCGCACCCAGCCTCGTAGCTGAAGTCACAACCACTGGAAAACCAATGATTTTGGCAGCCTTGGCTGGGACCGTCGTGGCGCCATGCTGGGGATCATGGGCCGTCCAGAGCTCTCTCCGAGCTCTCGTGGGAGGCTCGTGGGGCACGAGTGGGGGCTCCCGGAGGCGATCTTGGGCCTCTCTCTCTGGCCGCCTGGTGCCCCTCACGGGGCTGTCTCGGAGCCCTCCTGGGCCGTTTTGGGGCCTTTGCCAAAGACTTGTGAACTGCCTGGGGGCAGTCGGGGAGGCGCGGGGAGTCGCTGTGTGCCCGCTCTGGGCTCGAAGTGTCGGGAACCTGAAAATCGGTCACAGGTATTGGAAAATCAGAGAGTTTGGTGGCCTCGGCCCGTCTGGACGGCCTCATGGGCCGTCTTGGCGCCATGCTGGGGGTCTTGGGCCGTCTCGGAGCTCTCTCTCGGCCCTCTTGAAGCTTGTGGAGCGCGAGTGGGGGCTCCTGGCATATTTCGTGGGCCGGCTTGGAGCCGTCCTGGGCCGTCTTGGGTCCTTTGCCGGAGCCTCGTGAGCTGCCCGGGAACAGTCGGGGCGGCGCGAGGAGTCGTCTTGGGTCACTCTGGGCTCGACCTGTCGAGAACCTGGAAATCAGTCAAAAGCCACTGGAAAACTAACAAGTTTGGCCACCTCGGGCCGCCTGGACAGCCTCTTGGGCCGTCTTCGGAGCCATCCTGGACTGACAACGGGTCGTCTTGGGCCTTTGCTGGGGTCCTCGTGGGCCTGCTCGGGGCCCTTGGGTCCGTCTTCGGCCGCCTCTGAGTCATCTGGGGCCTGTCCGCAAGCGTCTTTGAGGCCCCGGGGGGCCGCCTGACAGGATTCTGAGTTCTCTGAGTCGCGTGACCCTGCCCGCCATTCTGGCACGCACGGCACGTAGGGCTGACCTGTGGACTACTGTCCACGGTTGCCACAGCGTTGAAGGGGTGCCTGCTGTTGTTTTGGGCTCCAGGGTGAGCTGGGTGTTCGTTGGTTCTGTCGGCGCCCAGGGAAGCGCTTACAATAGCAGCAGCAGCGGACACAGCACAGCATTGGCAGAAGCAGCAGCAGGAGCAGCTTCAGCAGCATCAGCAACAACGCGGCCCCCTCGCCTGCAGCAGCAGCAGCAGCAACAGCGGGTGTAGCAGCATCGGCGATAGCAGCAGTATGGCCGAAGAGGGACACGAAGTCTGATGGCACAAAAAAACATACCTCACACCTCCTGGGACACGCGGCGTGCGGGAGGGGTCCCTGAAAATGCACTCCTGGGCGTTAGGGCTGGTTCCCGAAACAATGTTTGAAACCCCTCCCACACCTCCTGGGACACGCGCCGTGCGAGAGGGGTTGCTGAACAAAAACAGGTTTGGGCGTTTGGCGACTCGTATCGTCCTAAGCTTGTTGTGGAACCCCTCCCGCGCGAGACGCGTCCCAAGACGTGTGGGGTAATTATGGTTGATTCCCACATGGGAGCAAGAGGGGGGCGTCCATGTTTTGTTGTGTCTTGGGAGCCTTGGGAGCCTCCAGAGGCCTTTGGGCATCGTCTGGGGCTGTCTCGGAGGCTTCCTGGGAGGCCGCGGGAGCCGCGTCGGGCCCGTTTCGGTGACCTCCGGTGCAGCATTGGGCTCGATGAGGCCAGGAGAGCTCCGGCGTTTGCCCTTTTTGGGCCCCCCCAGGGGCCAGGCTCTGGGGGCTCTGTTTCTGCTTGCAATGCCTCAGGGGAGCGTCTGGAACCAAAGAGGCCTCAAGGAAGAGTCAGCCAGTACGATTGGGCGACACATACATGTGAGAACGTGCCACCTGTAGCCACAATTGAGCAGGGACCGACCCATTCCTATAGTCATACCACGAAATATTCTCAGAACCCCAAAACGTTCTAAGAACAAAAACCATGTTCTTAGAACATAAGCCCGATGTGTGAAAACAAGACAGACTCCGCCAGAAATGTTCCAAGAACATCTCGTGGAAACCACAAAGGGTTCTTAGAACATGGTTTGGTAGGGCTGTAGGCGAGCCAGGACGCTTCGCCACTGCTTGCCACAGCGGCTCGGCACTAACCTGTCAGAGAGGCGCACGGGGTCCCCGGAAGTCTCGACCCATTCCCCTGGACCGGCTTCTCATCCTGAGTCGTTCTTTGACGGTCTGGAGGCCCGGCGAGGGCCCCTAGGGGCCGAACTTTGCGAAAAACCTCCGTCCTGATTTTTTCCATACAGTCGAGGCTTTGACCTAAGGAACCCTAAATAAGAAACGAGGCCCCTTTTTTCCATAAGTGAAACTTCGATTTCCCATCGAAAACCAAGGGGAAACCTGAGGCAAGCTGTGAAGCACGTAAGGAACGCGGAGCCCCTCCCCAACCAAAAGGGTTCCTTCTTCAGGGCCCCGACTGTACGTTGGATCTCTGGGCATGCGTGTGAGGATGTGCCACCTGTAGCCACAGCGGCGCGGCACCCACCTGTCGCAGGGGCGCCTCGCCGGCGCTCCCCTCGTGGAGCGGGCCTCCCCCCACGGGCGGAGCCGCCGAGGCAACGCGCTCTCCGGGGGCCACTGTGGGGCCCGGCGAGGAGGTATATACTGACAGGCACCGCTGGCAGGCATGCTGCCCGGCATCGTAGAGGGCAGGTTTTGATACATAGGATTATATACATAAAAAAGATAATACGAATAATAACAACAACAACAACAACAACAACAACAACAACAACAACAACAACAACAACAACAACAACAACAACAACAATTACTAGCACGTGGGGGCACTCCGTTCTCACCAGTGCCAGGGTTTTCATAGGAGGCGGGCAATACCCCCACTTTGTGGGGGGGGCGGTTCAAGCTCTACCAAATTTCCAAACGACTCTTCGCCACCATCCACACCCAGCTTCCCGCCCTATGACGTTCGGACACTTCACTTCGTGGCATGCGGACGACCGTGGCTACTATTCTGGGCCCCGCGGCCGACGACGACGGCGTGCGCGCGCGAAGAAAAAACGAATGTGTCCCGCATGGTATTATTTGACAGGGATGATGGCCCTGGCAGGTGCGCAACCGTTGTTGCAGAAGTTCGAAAAAGTTGCTCGCAAAAGCCCGTTTGACAGAAATGTTTAAAAAGTGTTGGGTTTCCTACGAATCCGCAAGAGCGCGCGGGATGAAATTTTGACATTTTTTTTTTTAAAAAACCATTGGTTTTTTGATGTTTTTATGTTAAAATCGCTACGAAAACTAAGGTTTTGGAAGGATTTCGTCTTGCGCGCGCGAATGTCCACTTTACCTTATTTTTTGCAAGGGATTCTTGAAGTTTGGTTATGTTAGAACAAGAAATGTCCACTTTAGCTTATTTTTTGCAAGGGAAAGCGGGCGTCAACAAAACAACCGGATCTGGTACACATCGTTTTACCTGAGACTTCCTCACGAAAATTATGAAAATGTGGCTGCGGCCTAGGCGCGGCAACAGCAACAGCAACAACAGCAACAGCAACAGCAACAGCAACAGCAACAACAACAACAACAACAACAACAACAATAATAATAAAATTAATAAACATCGGATGTTTAATACATGATTAGTTCATGAATAAGTTTATGCATGAACTCATCGTTGTTTTTAATGCTAAATCCCTGCATGGTTAATGCATGATCTGCACGCGGAGCATGTATTCAAAACGGCGCTGTACTGACAGGCACCGCTGGCAGGCATGCTGCCCGGCATCGCAGTAGAGGTGACGTCGGGCTCCAGCTTCGCCTGCCACATCTCGAGGAGCAACGCCAGAGCCCGCTGCCACTGCACGCCCTTCCCGCACGCGCTGATCCCGACGTTGTAGGGTAAGCTAGGGCACGGTCGTGGACTACGTCCACGCAGGCTGTTCGGGAAAGCTTGCGGGGTCCAGGCGGGGATGTCGCCGAGACGTTTTCATTATGACATTGGGCGGCGTGCTTTTCGGCGCCGTCTCCGCGCGCCTCTGGGACCAGAATATGTTGTGGACTGCACTCCCAGGAGGCCTCAGGTGTATCTCGCGGGCGGCAGCGGCGAAGGGTGCCCTGGAGGTGCAATGCTGCAGCAAGGGAAATAGACACCCAGGTTGCTGTAATTTTTCCGGCGCCCCTGAGCGACAAAGACGTCTCCCCGTGGGCCCTGTGGGGTGTGCGCTTGGCCTGTAGGGTCTTCTCGGATTTGTTTGAAGCCTGTGAGGCTCTCTGCCTCCAGGCCCCGGGCGTCCCCCCAGGGAGCCCCACAGGCTTCGAAGACGCCCCGAAGAGCCACCAGAAGCAGTCCCAGGAAGCCCCCACGGGGGGAAAGTTCGGTGCCGCCCCAGGGGCCTGGGAATGTCGTGCGGCCGACCGTGTACAAGAGCTCCAAAGTGAACCTGATGGTCAGAGAACGGACACACAGTGAGCTGCGTACATACTTTTCGGCGAATTCTCCGCGCGCCTCTGGGGACAAGAGTATGTCGAGGATTGCACTCCGCGGAGGCCTCCAGTGTATCTCGCCTCATGTGGGCAGCAGCGGCGAAGGGTGCCCTGGAGCTGCGAGGCAATAGTAAGGGGAAGAAGCGCCCCCTGTTGCCGTTAACTTTCCAGCGCCCTTTGGCGGCACAAACGTGTCCCCTGGACCCTCCAGGATGCGCTGTTGGGAGATTCTCGGGTTTTGAGAGCCTGTCAGGCCCTCTGCATCCAGTCACCGTTCGTTACTGGGAGGCTTGGCGTGCAGAACTTCGAGTCTTAGGGCCCTCCTCGGAGCGTCCAGCGCATCACTTTTCGGAACATCTGAAGGCTCTGTTGGGCTACTTGGGGCCCCCCTCGGGCCATGTTGGGGGCCTCTTGGGCCGTCTGGGGGGCCATGTCGTGCGTCCAGGGCCGTCTTGGAGCGCCCCTGGGGCGCCCCGGAGCGCGCCGGGGCCTGCCGGCCCGATCTGTAGTCACCTGATCCTGGAAGCCTTCTGGCGCGCGGCGCTCCTGGCATGGTAGAGATGATGGCGCTGATCCGCTGATCACACGGATCACGCTGATCAGCACCCACATCTCGCTGATCAGCACCGGTCAGATCTGGCTGATCAGCGCCAGGGCCCGCTGCCACTGCTCGCTCTTCTCGCACGCGCTGACTCCAACGATGTAGCTGACTAGGGCGACCCGTGGCCTACCGGCTACGAAACAAGTCCTGGATGGCACGTTGGACCAGTGAAGAAACGTTGCCGACAGACTTTCGTGATGGCATTGGGCCCCAACTTCGCCTCTGCAGTTGCCGCCTGCAGCTGCAGGGTGCTGCTGTCTCTGGCATGTTGCTACTGCTGCCTACTTTTTGCTGTGCAGCCGCTGCTTGCTGCGGACTGCTGGTGTTCGCGGTTGCTGCTTGAGGCTGCAGAGTGCTGCTTCTCGGTACCTACCCTTGCCAGCTGACGCAGCCTGGAGCTCGTGAGGGAAGCGAGGGACGAGGAGCGAGGAGGCGAGGAGTCAGGGTCGAGGGGGGAAGTGGTGGAAGCAGGGGGCGAAGAGCGAGGAGCGCGGGGCGAGAAGGGAGGAGCGCCGGCCGAGGAGAGAAAGAGAGAGAGAGAGAGATGCGAAGAAGGATAAAAGGGAGAGCCGAAGAGGAGAGGGGAGGCAGGCGCCAGTAGCCAGGACAACAGGGCCCAGAGGCCCCCCAAGAGGATCCCCAAGAGGCCCCAAGAGGCCCCAAGAGGCCCCCAAGAAGCTCAAGAGAAGCCCCAAGTATCACTTGGGGCATGCAACTTGTAACCCGCAACCCAGACACCAAGGATCTCAGACCGACAACCAAGGCACGGTGGCAGGATGGGCCGAAGGCCACTTTATATATCTATATCTATTTATATATATATATATATATAGAGAGAGAGAGAGAGAGAAAGTTGTGAACTACCGCGGGCATCTACCTCGATCGAGAAGAAGACGAGGAGAAGGACGAGGAGGAGGAAGAGGAGAAAGAGGGAGAAAAACAAAGAAGTTTTCGTCGTCGCCGCCGATGTCTCGCAGATTTTCGAGGTCTTTCGACCACCCGAAGCATCTCCTCGAATTCAGCCTCCAGGAACCGTTTTCGGTGCCGGGGACCACCGCCGAAAGTCCGGGATGAGGATCGACCTCCCTGGCCAGTGCCACCCCTTCGCAAGGGAAGGAACACGGTGTGGATCGAGGCTCGAGGCATGAGGCTCCTAGTTCTTGGGCGCTCTCCGCCCCCTCTGGGCCTTCAGCAAGCTCCTCGTCGACACACACACACACACACAGCTGGGTCCACTCTCGAATTCCTGGCCGGACGCAACCCCAGCTGGGTCTCAACGATCCCCGAGCCTATCCAGGAGGTGGACAAGGAGGCCTGGGACAGGCCCCGTGAAGGCCCCAAGAAACTCACATAAGACCACGAAAACCTTCAAAACAATCCCCTACAAGGCCCCCCCTTGAAGCCCACACGCTACGCAGGACAGGCCGAAACCCCAAGATTGCCCAGCGATCGCGCGCGTTCTGCGAATTCTGTCTTTCACTCTTGCTGCCGCCCCAAGGGGTCGGCGGTGCAGCGTAAGCCAATGAATCAATTGGTCCAGTTCTCCACCCGTTCTGCTTATTTCGTCTGCTCGCGGTCGCTTCCTGCGAAATATCTAGGTCGCAGGAGTGATGCCGCGATTGCGAAGCATTTGACTGTGGCCAAGCATTATTTGGCGAAGCGTTCAAGGGTACTGTGCGTCCTTCAATATTTGTTGTTGTGTTGACCTGTCCGATGTATCGTGGCCACATGTGTGCAAAGGGTTGGGTACGTCCCGTGGGTAATTGGTTGCTAAATTGAATTCCCCCTTGGAGCCCTCAGTGGTGCTTCCACGGGGCCCGCCTGGGGCCTCTGGGGGCTCGCTTTGACAATTTAGGGCTTCTCTTTTTTGTTGTTTTGAAGTACCCTGCTCAACCTCAGCACGCGTGAACAAAGGATACAGTAGCTATGAACAAAACTAAATGCCGTGAGATGCTTCTGAACATGGCCATCAAGCTTCGCATATCGTGGCACCTGGCGTCATCCTCTCTAGCCTTTGAAAACTGGTCGCTACTATGGTTTTCATTGGGGGTCTCTTGGCCCGTCTTGGGGGCACTTGGGGGGTTTCAAAGCCGTCGTACGGGGGCCGTCGTGGGACCCGCTCTTTGGACTCTCGGCGGCAGCTCGTGTGGCCGTCTTGGATAAAGGAACCCAGGGACACCCAAATGAATAGACAAACATCCCAGGATTCCCCATATGTTCTAACATTTTCTAGGTTATCGTCTCCCCCCCCCCCCCACTTCCCATATTTTCCCATTTTCCTGGGGATCGACGATGAATTGTGTTTGTGTGGTTCTGCTCCCCCCTGATTGGAAAGCACTTGGGGCTTCATGGGCCGTCTTAAAGCTCCCTTGGGCCGTCTTGGGCTCCCGTCGGCCGTCTTTGGGCTCTCTTCGAGGCTTCTTGGGCCGCGTTGGGGCGATCTGGGAGGGCCCTGGAGCCGTCTGGGGCTGTTCTGGACGCGACATCGGGAGGACCTGAAAACTGCTTGAAAACCACAGGTAAGAGCATGATTTAACCTCGTCTGACATCATCGGAGCCCTCTTGGGCCATCTTGGAAGTCTCCTGGGTTGCTTTGGGGCCGTCTTGGGCTCATTTGGGGCTCGCTCGGCATCCTCTTGGCCGTCTGGGAGCCCTCTTGAGCGGCTCTGAGCCGTCTTAGACTGTCGTAGAGCATTCTGGCGGCCGTCCACGGCAATAGACGGTTGTTGGCGCTCCCCGAGCGGCCAAGGATCGCTGGGAGCCGCCAAGGGCCGAGTTCCGCCAGTGCCATCTCGCACACGCTGATCCAAGTGTTGTAGGATAGATAGCGGTGGGCTCCAGCTTCTTCTCCCACATCTCGCTCAGCAGCGCCAGGGCCTGCTGCCACTGGCTCGCCTTCTCGCACGCGCTGATTCCAGCGATGTAGTTGACCAGAACTGACCCGTAGACTGCCTACGTTCACGGAATCTCCACGAGCTGGTCCACCAGCACATGCTGCCGAAAGACTGACATGATGACGTGGGGCTCGAACTTCGCATTCCGCGCATACTACTGCTGCGTGCTGCAGCTTGCTGCCGCTGCTGCGTGCTGTTCGAAATGCTTACTTACCGCTGCTGCGTGCTGCTGCTGCTGCTTGTAGCTGCAGGGTGTTGCTCATGCTGAGTCGGGCGTGCCGTCTTGTTAGATGATTGTTGAATTGGAGGCCCTCCGGGGTGCCTCCAAGGCTCATGATTGGGCGGCCGAGACGATTGCAGAAAGATTCCAGGATAACCTGGCAAGCTGTCAGGGCGCTCCTGGGGGGCACCCAAGAGAGCTCCAAAAAGGCATAAAATGTCACGATGTTTCTGTTTTCTCTATGATTCCAACATGCAGCAAACAAACAAAAAAACACGCTGTTGGGTCGGACGTGCCGTCTTGTTACCCGTCGGTCGGAAGAAGTAGGTAGAAACATGAAGTAGGAAGGCGGACAACAATAGATTGGGTTCAGACCCTCCCGGAGAATCACAAAACACAGCACAAGCACATCGAATATTGTAGTAGGAAGGCGCAGGCGCTTGAAGCAGATTGAGATCTGGCAATCCACAAACACCTATTTTCAACCACTGGCGTACGACCGGCGTGTAGATTTAGGTCGGGCATGTCCCCCTACAGGCGGATTTGGGGCGAAAAAATTAAAAATCAAAAACAAGATTCAAAAATAGCCCCCCCCAACAAAAAAACATTTAAAAAATCGTCCCGAAACTATGTTTTTACTATCTTTGAATCTTCCTCCGGGGGGGGGGTATACTGTAACGCCTCCCAGCCGCCGTGTGCCCGATGCGCACGGCGGCAATGCCCGGGGCGCACTGGGGAGGGAGGGGCGTTACGTTACACGTCGGTCGGAAGAAGTAGGTAGAAACATGAAGTAGGAAGGCGGATATGGTGGATTGGGTCCAGGGCCTCCCAGAGAATCACGAAATACAGCACAAGCACATCCAATTTTTTGTAGTAGGAAGGCGCTTGAAGCAGATTGGGATCTGGCAATCCACATACACCTATTTTCAACCACTGGCGTACGACCGGCGTGTAGATTTAGGTCGGGCATGTCCCCCTACAGGCGGATTTGGGGCGAACAATAAAAAATAAACAAAAACAATATTCAAACATAGCCAAAAAAAACATTTAAAAAATCGTCCCGAAACTATGTTTTTACTATCTTTGAATCTTCCTCCGGGGGGGGTATACTGCAACGCCTCCCCCCCGCCGTGTGCCCGATGCGCACGGCGGCAATGCCCGGAGCGCACTGGGGAGGGAGGGGCGTTACGTTCTAGGGGGGGGGAGGGGGTTATAATGCCATTATGCCCCAAGCAATGAAGAAACATGCTCTTATCGGCGGTGGACAAACCTCCCTATAATAGACCTCCCCTTAGTGAAAACGGCATGGGACCGAAACAGACGGACCTGGACCCGCAAAAATGACGGCCGCGACGCCCTCCCGCGAACAGAAAACGGCCAATTCCTCAATCGACGTGTGAGGGTAGGAGGTCTGTCCACCCCCGAGTTGTACGGGGGGGGGGAGGGTGCGGTCGGGCTCGCTGAAAAAGCAAGCAAAGGTGCACGAGCTCTCGGCGTGGTACATGAACAACAGCAGTTGCACCAACAACTCTAATTCCAGGGAGAGCGGAGGGAGGAGGAGGAGGAGGAGGAGGAGGAGGAGGAGGAGGAGGAGGGGAGGAGAGGAGGAGGAGGAGGGAGGAGGAGGAGGAGGAGGAGGAGGAGGAGGAGGAGGAGGAGAGAGAGGGAGGGAGGGAGGGAGGGAGGGAGGGAGGGAGGGAGGGAGGGAGGGGGGGGGAGGGGGCTAGAATGCCCACTATATACCCCGAGCAAGGAAGCAACACGCTCTCAGATGGGAGGCCCCCGGTGGGGCCCAGCAGGGGGCGGATGGCCCGGGCGGCCCGAGAGAGGCTCGCAGCGAGGCCCTCCGGGACCGCCAAGGCGAGGCCCGCAGAGAGCGAGGCCCGCGGGGCGAGCCCGGGGGGGGCTCCCGAGAGGGCGTCGAAGGGAGCAGCAGGAATCCAACGAGAACAGGGAGGAGGAGGAGGAGGCTGGAGGAGGAGGAGGAGGAGGAGG